ACCTGAGGTAAGGGCTGGTTCCAGTCCCACAAACCCAATATGAGATGGCTGGGGGAGGTCCCTGCGCTGCCCAGTCCCTACCTGGACGGCACAGCCCAGCACCAGCAGCAGCACCTTCCTGATTTCCTCCATGCTCTTCCCTAGATCAAGAGAGCAACACATTTAATATCAGATAAATCTTAATCATTTCTCTACTCAGTGACATTCACTTAGGCATATACACTCCATCTAGCTTCCACGTGTGGCTTTCTTTACTTTCTATTTTGAGACAGGGTCTCGTTCTGTCACCCAGGCTGGAGTGCAGTGGCAAGCTCACGGATCACTGCAGCCTTGGCCTCTCAAGGCTCAAGTGATCCTCTCACCTCAGCCTCCCTAGTAGCTGGAACTATAGGCACATGCCACCATGCTCCGCTCATTTTTGTATTTTTTGAAGAGATGGGTTTGTGCCATGTTGCCCAGGCTGGTCTCAAACTCCTGGCCTCAAGTGATCCACCCACCTTGGCATCCCAAAGTGCTGGGATTAAAGGTGTGAGCCTCCATACCCAGCCTTATTTACTTTTTAAACCAAATGAGAATTCTGTATCTAACTACTTGAAGTCCCACTCCAACTATGTCATAAATATCTCCCCATGATAATTAATGAACTGTGACATCAGCATCCCTTTTCAGAGCATCAAGTAAGCAAAGTACACAATGGAAGAGAACAACTCCCACAGGAAACACTGAGTCGACTCTAAGTAAGGCTGTATACAACCTTACCCATTTTACTGTGAAAATTTTCAAACAGACACAGGAGGACAGTATAACGAACCTCCACAATCCACCCAGCCTCATGCTATCAACATTCTACACATCTCCCTCTTACTCCTCCTTCCCCTTTTTGTTCTTAAATTTGTTTAGCTGGAGTATTCTACAGTAAATTCCAGAGAACATAAAGACATCCTTTTTTTTTTTTTCTTGGATACAGGGTCCCACTCTACTGCCCAGGTTGGGGTGTAGTGGTGCAATCACAGCTCACTGCAGCCTCCACCTCCTGGGCTCAAGCGATCCTTCCACCTCAGCCTCCCGAGTAGCTGACACTACAGGTGTGCACCACCACAACTGGCTAACTTTTGTATTTTTTGTAGACAGGGTCCCATAATGTTGCCCAGGTTGGTCCTCAACTCCTGGGCCCAAGTGATCCTTCCGTCTCAGCCTCCCAAAGTGTTGGGATCACAGGTGTGAGCCACCACACCTTTCTGATGGTTGCATACTTTGTAAAGCGATGCCACTAACTTTTTCAACCAATCCCCTTCCAGAGGTTTAATTTTTTTTTTTTTTTTTGAGACAGAGTCTCACTCTGTCACCCAGGATGGAGTGCAGTGGCTCAATTTCGGCTCACTTCCACCTCTGCCTCCTGGGTTCAAGCGACTCTCCTGCCTCAGCCTCCTGAGGAGCTGGGATTACAGATGTGTGCTACCACGCTCAGCTAATTTTTGTATTTTTAGTACAGATGGGGTTTCACCATGTTGGCCAGCCTGGTCTTGAACTCCTGACCGCAGGTGATCCACCCACCTCGACCTCCCAAAGTGCTGGGATTACAGGTGTGAGCCACCATGCCCAACTAAAATATTTCAATCTAAACAATGTTATAAAGAGTATTGTGACAGCTAATTCTTTATGCATTCCTTTTTAAGCTTTTCATATTGATGAACTGCCCCGGAGACAGGCTCTAGCATTTCATCATGGGAAATACGTGTGATCCCCATTTTCCGACCCTTATCCAACACTTACCCTACCACTCCTTCTCAACTCTGTCAGGCCAAAAATCCTATTTCGTCATTCCAAGCTGTGTTTTTTATTGTGCTTGAGGCTGAATGCATCTTCACCTGTTTATCTATCTCAAATACTTAAACAGCAGTAGGAATACCTGGGCTCAAGACAACTGGCTTGGTCACCCAGGAGCTGTGTGACTCACACAAGCCATACTCTGTCTCTAAGCCTCAGTTTCCACATCTATGAAATGTGCAGTGTTCCCTTTCAGGTTAAAAAAAAAAAAAAAAAAAAAAAAAACCAGGCCAGGTGTGGTGGCTCACGCCTGTAATCCCAGCACTGTGGGAGGCTGAGGTGGGTGGATCACAAGGTCAGGAGATCAAGACCAGCCTGGCCAATATGGTCAAACCCCATCTCTACTAAAAATACAAAAAATTAGCTGGGTGAGGTAGTGGGCACCTGTAATCCTAACTACTCAGGAGGCTGAGGCAGGAGAATCGCTTGAACCAGTGAGTCAGAGGTTGCAGTGAGCCAAGATTGAGTCACTCCAGCCTGGGCAATAGAGTGAGACTCTGTTTCATTTAAAAAAAAAAAAAAAAAAAAAGTGCCTGGAGCCATCATTGCACCGCTGCACTCCAGCCTGGGCAACAGAGTAAGACCCTGTCTCCAAAAAAAAAAAACCAAGCACAAACACAAAAAAAACGCCAAGCGCGGTGGCTCACGCCTGTAATCCCAGCACTTTGGGAGGCTGAGGTGGGCAGATCACAAGGTCAGGAGCTCGAGACCATCCTGGCCAACATGGTGAAACCCCCGTCACTACTAAAAATACAAAAATTAGCTGGGCGTGGTGGCGCGTGCCTGTAGTCCTAGCTACTCGGGAGGCAGAGGCAGGAGAATCACTTGAACCAGGGAGCTGCAGGTTGCAGTGAGCCAAGATTGTGCCACTACATTCCATCCTGGGCAACAATGTGAGATGCCATCTCAAAAAACAAACAAACAAACAAAAAAACTATGTGTTCTGCCTTTTCATTAAATCCTATCATCTTTGAGGATGAAAGGACATGCCAGAAAGCTTTCTTCTCTTAAAATACTTAACCAACTCACACACTGGAATACAGTGGCCCAAAGTATCAAAGACGGCTGGGATGAAAAAAACCAAAACGCCATCCTGAGAGCCAACGCTGCAGTTCATTTCAGATCCTTGGGCATAAGCAGTGAATATGCAACCTCTCCTAAGACCCTCAACTGAGAAATAGCTAAAATTGGCTTTCCTTGAGATAGTGACATCATTGTCAAGCCTCAGAACTGGGATCTGGGAGTTCACTGAACCAGAAACCCAGCCTATGCCCCGACCTGCCCCCACCAGCCTGAAGGCAGGGAAGAGAGAGACTGGTGGGCTGGGCCATGGGGCAGGGCTAAGACCACTTTCCTGATATGAGAACACACCTGAGAATAAGGCTCAGTGTTGCAAAGCTATGTTCTGAGGTTAAATCCTTCTACTACTAAATGTAGAAATTCGTCGGTATTTGAAATTGAAAAATTCTCAAAGTCTTAGTATTTTTTTTTACTTGAGGTCTTTTATTTGGCTCAAGACACTCTAATCCATAGACTAATTATCACTACAGTGGCTCACTTCCTTATTAACACAGAGCTATTAATCAGCCACTTAATTTTAGTTTTGATAAAGAGAAAAAAGGCCAGGCATGGTGGCTCATGCCTGTAATCTCCACACTTCGGGAGTCCAAGGTGGGAGGATCACTTGAGGTCAGGAGTTCAAGACCTGCTTGGCCAACATGGTGAAACCCTGTCTCTACCAAAGATACAAAAATTAGCCAGGTGTGGTGGCGGGCACCTGTAATCCCAGCTACCTGGGAGGCTGAGGCAGGAGAATTGCTTGAACCTGAGAGACAGAGGTTGCAGCAAGCTGAAATCACTCCACTGCACTCCAGTCTGGGTGACAGAGCGAGACACTGTCTCAAAAAAAGAGACAGAAAAGGGAACGCCCACATGAGTGTTAAGGCCTCCAATCAGTCTTTCTGACAGTGCTTGCCGGCTCAGCCCACGTCACCCACCTCCCCCTTTCCCTTCTGTCAGCCCACAGATCACTGACAAGTGCTCCTCACATGCCCGTGCTGGGTATTAGAGGCGCAGACCCTTCCCAGCCATCACTGGTTTGTCTTCCTATAATGAGACTCACTTTCTGAAAGGCTACTCACCTGGTACTGTACCCACTAGAGGAGCTGAAACGCTAAGGGCCTGAGATCAGCCCGAACAGAAGTCAGGGTTAGCACAGAAAATCTTCATGTACTCTACTCACAGCAAAGCCCTCAAAGGAGCTAATTACATCTTACTGTACAGTCATTTAGACAACTCTGGTGATCCATTTCCCCAGCCCAAAGCAGATTACAACAGCAAAGTAAAAGGACGGCAAGTGCCAGAGAGGCTCACTGATCACGTTCTGAGAGCAAGAGACCAGAAGCCCTGCACAAACCCTGCACACACCGGAGGGCTCAAAATTACACTCTAAGGCCAGGTGCAGTGGTGTGCACCTATAATCCCAGCACTCTGGGAGGCTGGGGCAGGAGGATCGCTTACATTCAGGCGTTCAAGGCTACTCTGGGCAACATAGGGAGACTCCCTGTTTTTCTTTTTTTCCCTTTTTTGAGATGGAGTCTCACTCTGTCACCCAGGCTGGAGTGCAGTGGTGCAAACGCAGCTCACTGCAACCTCCGCCTCCTGGGTTCAAGCCATTCTCCTACCTCAGCCTCCCAAGTAGCTGGGATTACAGGCGCCCACCACCACGCCTGGCTAATTTTCGTATTTTTAGTAGAGATGGAGTTTTACCATGTTGGCCAGGCTGGTCTCGAACTCCTGACCTCAAGTGATCTGCTCGCCTTGGCCTCCCAAAGTGCTAGGATTATAGGTGTGAGCCATTGCACCCAGCTGAGACCCCGTCTCTATTTAAAAAAAAAAAAAAAAAAAAAAAATTAGCCGGGCCTGGTGGTACACCATTTGGAAGGCTGAGGCAGGAGGATTGCCTGAGCCTGGGAGGTTGAGGCTGCAGTGAGCTTTGTTTGTGCCACTGCAGTCTGGCCTGGATGACACAGCAGGACCCCGTCGCCAAAAAAAGGAAAAAAAAAAAAAAAAAAAAACCCACAAAAACAAACTACATTCCGAGGCTTTCAGTGACAGAGCAAAGGGTTTGACTCTCTCAGCACCCTCAGCACCCTGCAATCACACACAATGACAATCCTGAGTCAATCATTCATTCCCTCATTCATCCCAACACCCATTAGACATCAAGAAAACACTAAATCTGATCCACAGCGCTGGTTAGACGAGTATGGATTCCTGTTTGCTAAGGTTTGCAACAGAAGGGAAAAAGGTTTTTGTTTTTTTTTGTTTTGTTTTTTTGTTTTTAAGACGGGGTTTCACCATGTTGGTCAGGCCGGTCTTGAACTCCCCACCTCAGGTGATCTGCCTGCCTTGGCCTCCAATGTGCTTGGGTTACAGGCGTGAGCTACTGCGCCTGGCCTGGCAAAAGGTTTTAAAGGTACAGAATTAAGTTTAGAGAAATATTCATGGAAATAAAAATAAACTCTTCAGTGATTAACAGATTACTAAGAAATTCACCTCTGCCCTCATTCAAATGAAGCAGAGCAGTGCTGGTTCTCACCAGGCTGAGTGAACAGAACCTTATGCCTATAACAAGTGCATCCCGTGATCCCCACCCTACAGATTCCTACGAATTAGTTTTTTAAAAGCGCTCAGGGCGGGGAGCAGAAGTTTCCTCATTTCCTATGAGAAGCCGATGGCCAATTTCTTTTAGGATTTCAGTAGTAAGAAAAACTGCTATTTCCATAAATCTACCAGATTGTGGGTTTTGAAGTTTCAAAACACAACAGAAGATTCCCTCCTGGATCCTTGCCAGTAGAACTGGCTCAATGACACAAGCAAGCAGGCCAAGAAGAAACAAACTTGCAGACAGCTCCCTGCCAAGTGCCTACTATGTGCTGGAAGCCAAATCTGCAATCTGAAAGCTAATACTATGGGAACCAGGAAAGGAACTTCTAATTTGCAGCAAGCCTCAGGGCAAGGATTCTAAAGGGAATAACCTCTGAGATGAGTCCCATAGATGAGGAGGAGACAGACTAATTGGATAGGCAAGTGTGGGCTTTCCAGGCCTAGGGGACAGCATGTGTGAAGGCTGAGAGGTAAGAAAGCACGCCGCTTGTCAAATTATAAGCGCTTTGGCTAGGTGTGGTGGCTCACGCCTGTAATCTCAGCACTTTGGGAAGTGGAGGCGGGCAGATCACGAGGTCAAGAGATTAAGACCAGCCTGGCCAACATGGGAAAACCCCATCTCTACTAAAAATACAAAAATTAGCTGGGCACGATGGCACACGCCTCTAGTCCCAGCTATTCAGGAGGCTGAGGCAGGAGAGTCGCTTGAACCCAGGAGTCAGAGGCTGCGGTGAGCCAAGATTGCACCACTGTACTCTAGCCTAGTGACAGAGCAAGACTCCACTTCAAAAAAAAAAAAAAAAATGATTTAAGTGCTTTTGTGGTTACACTTACTTGAGGTGGTGTGTTCAGAGGGAGAAACAGGGGCAGGTTATAAAGCGACGTGGATTCCTACACCAAAAAAGTCACAAGCAACCACTGGGGGCGGGGATCGAGAAACAGCAGACCAGGCACACTCCACGTTTAACCCACATCTACACTCTCTCGAGTACAGGAGAACCCCAGGGGAAATCCCAGGATGGCCTGAGTCAATAGCTGAGTCTAAGAAAAACCTTACCTTACTACCTGTTTCCTGGAGTCTTGACACAAAGAAATTCACCCCAGCCTATCTTAGCAGAAATGGAATGCTGACAGGCCAACATGAGCTATAGACAAAACTGCAGAACGTTAACCGTCAATAAGCTTCCAAAACAGAAGGGAAACTGCATGACAGCACACATTAGCAAGGGCATATGTGAGGATAGAAACGTAGTCGGACAATTAAAATACACCATCCTCTAAAATGTACATTACATCAAGGTTTAAAAATTCTGCGACTTGCTAATCCTGAGTCCATGGCGGACATGATTAGTCAATCACAGAACTTTCTGACGTCGGGGTGGAACTAGGCCTCAGAATCCTTCTGAACACAGCACTCTACGGACTATCAGTTAACGGGCGTTGACACATGGAACAAAACCTATCTTCCTTCCATGACTGGTATATAATCTGAAGAGTCCTTTTTGACTCCACTCTTTGGTTCTTTAAGATGTAGCCATGCAAATGTTCAGAAGACACTTTTTTTTTTAGACAGAGTCTTGCTCTGTCACCCAGGCTGGAGTGCAGTGTCACGATCTCGGCTCACTGCAACCTCCACCTCCTGGGTTCAAGCAATTCTCCTGCTTCAGCCTCCCAAGTAGCTGGGACTATAGACACGTACCACCACACCTGGCTAATTTTTTTTTATTTTTTAGTAGAGACAGGATTTCATCATGTTGGCCAGGCTGGTTTCGAACTCCTGACCTCAAGTGATTCACCTGCCTTGCCTTCTCAAAGTGCTGGGATTCCAGGCGTGAACCACCACATCTGGACAGAAGACACTTTCTGATTTCTGGACACAGAAACTAAACCTTGTTGTGTATAAATGATGATGGAGGTGTGAAGTTGGAGATTTACGCAATGGCAGGCAAGCATCCCTTTCCAAGAGGGAGCCCTTCCAGCCCCAAACTGAATGCCCTTTGCTGGGGTTGAAGGCACAGTGATTTCTCTGCACAGATGACTAGGTCAGAGATAAAACAGTGAAACTGATTCCTCTGACTTGCTAACTCAGCTCCCCACAACCTCAGAGGTCTAGGACCTGCAAATCACCAGCCAAGCTCAGGGTTTAACCCTCACAACCTGGAAGGACTGACTGTATTCTGCAGAGGTAATTCTGCCCTTCCCGCCAACAGACCACCATTACTGCCCCTTAACATACAGCATGCTACCATTTGACTTAATTCCAAAAGCAATCCCCCAAAGGCGGCATTATTATGAGCTCCATCTTAGAAACAAAAAGAATGCAGCTCAGAAAGGCTGAGCCACAGAACTAAGATCTGCCCCCGGGTCCACCACCACCTACCGTCTCCTAGCTTAACTACGTTTCCTTCTAAAGCGGGAAACTCCGCGGTTTCACTTCTGATCCCCGTGGCCCCATGCAGGTTATTCAACCAGCGTGCGCTGACTGGGTGGTGGTAACTGTTAGCATCAAGTGCTTGGGTAGAACAGCAAAGAGAGCAGTTTCAGTTTCTCTCTTCTACGGCACAGATATGTGTGCTTCATAATTCTCTTCTCTTCTGGCTTACACGCTGGTGTGAACCACTAACTGCTGTCCCTGGTTTTGTACTTAAAAACCAGTTATTTCATAAAGATGCTCACAAGGCTCTGACAGTGATTTGAAAACAGCAGTGTAACAAACACGACCCTGTATTCTCTCCTCAGTGTACAGGCACACCCCAACACTCACCCACGCGGGCACAGCCCTGAGGGCCTCCTCAGGGCTCAGCTTACAATGGGAAGAGCTGTTCACTATTATTTTAACAGTCAGGGGTACTTCCCAGGCAGTGCTGAGGAATAATAGAGGTGGAGAACTCACCATGGGTGGGCACATGGGGACCCTCCATCATACGTGTTCCCACCCACGGGGAAGGAGCCAGGCACCTCTACACACGGGCTCACATTCCAGGGAGCGACCCCTGTGAAATCCTCATGTCACCACATGTGCCCCCACCCCGGCATTAACATAACCAGGCACAAACACTGATCAACCATGGACTCTGGCAGGCACTAAGCCACAGGCCTGTGTGGAATGGTGCGGGAGCCTCCGCGGCACCCTGATCAGTGGCCCTTCATCCTTGTGTCCCTCTGCTGCCTGTGTCAAGTTGGCCCCACCCTCACAGACCCCCCCAGTACCACCAGGCACCACAGAAGACAGCTGCCCCCAGATCATGTAGAACAATTTGAAACAGCCCCTTGGACCACCCTCACCCCAAAAATGACTTCCTACTCCACCTGCCTGCCACGGCTGCAGAAGCTGAGAGCGAATCCATTTCCCAGTACCAAACAACTGAAGGACAGAAAAGCAGCATCAGCCAAAGCCTGCAGAGTTTGCCCTGGGAGGGGTGAAGAGTGAGGGCAGGTAGGGGACACTCTGGGAAAGGGTCCCTCCCAACCGCCAGGCGGAAAACTCAAACCTAAAGACCTTTGACAAACAGCATCTCTTCCCTCCTCTGCAGATGGCGGTGGCCACAGAGAGCAAGCATGCTGGAAGCCATGGTGTAGCTGTGGCAGCCAGCAGTGCGTTCTCTCTGTGCCCAGGCCATCGCTAGGAAGTTTACTAACAAAGTCTGGTCTCTAGGCAGAGCGGCGGGTGCCCAGAGGCCGACATGTGGGCTGTGCTGTGACGCTGGCCTGGGCTTGGTGTCAGCCAAGCTCTGCACCTTCCTGGGAAAGGAAAGTCCCGGCTCCTGGCTCCCAGCTCACGTGCCCCAGCACCACACACGGGCTGGAGGCCTCACTTCTGGATCCAACAAGCAGCACGGAAGCAAAGAAGCAGGACGGAATCAGGGTCGTCTGAAACAGCATTTGGTTGCTTTTCCAAAACTTCTCTCTCAAACATGAAAGAGGAAATTTTAGAACAATCAAAATGCCTGCAAGATTAGTTTTCTCTTTCTTTACTTATTTCTTCCCTCCCATTCAAAGGCCCCAAGCTTTTTTTTGCAAATATGAAAGTTACATATATACATACATATACATTTGTACACAGGATTAGAGAATATGGGCCAGGAGAAATAAAATGAAAACAACAAGGGTAGGGGAAAAGAACACAAAAATGGCTCATTAAGCCTGAGTGGCAGACCCTGGGCCTCCACACCACACAGCAAGCAGGCTGGAGCCAGGGCGGGACAGGGGAGGGCAGCAGGGCAGGGAAGACAGCGCTTTCGCTCTGTAGCCCAGGCTGGGGTGCTGCGGTGCGATCTCAGCTCACCGCAACCTCTGCCTCCTGGGTCCCGGTTCAAGCAATTCTCCTGCCTCAGCCTCCTGAGGAGCTGGGATTACAGGCACATGCCACCATGTCCAGCTAATTTTTGCATTTTTAGTAGAGACGGTGTTTCACCACGTTGGCCAGGTGGGTCTCCAACTCCTGACCTCGTGATCCACCCACCTTGGCCTCCCAAAATGCTGGGATTACAGGCGTGAGCCACCTCGCCCACTTTTAATTTTTAAAAGCGCAATCTCAGCAGCAGGAGGACTGCTCCCCACAAGCCAGAGTCTGAGCCTGTGCCTGGGTTGCCAAGGTGGAGGTCAGCAAGCCTCAGGCACACCCAGCCCTCACAAGTTCCCGGGGCCCTCTGAAGGAAGGCAGGGCTACACCACGTGGGCTACAAGAGAGACGTTTCCATGGGATCTGAAAAGCACTCCAAGGATACCCTAGGAGGAGAGCAAGTCAAAACTGAGAGGGTTAAATATTAAATTCCAAGGAGTTTCAGGAGGTCTGTTTCCTCTGGCCTATGAAACCTAAACCTCAGCTGTCACAGAAGACCTCC